TGCGGCCGCACTCGCTCACTCTCATTCTCACTCTCACTCTCACTCTCACTCTCTCTCTCTCTCTCCCTGTCTCTCTCTCTCTCTCATCTCTCTCATCTCTCTCATCTCTCTCTCATCTCTCTCATCTCTCCCTCATCTCTTTCTCATCTCTCTCTCATCTCTCTCTCCTCTCTCTCTCCTCTCTCTCTCTCTCTCTCCTCTCTGTCTCTCGTCTTTCCGTCTCTCTTCCCTCTCTTCTCTCGCAGGAGGATCCGGGCAAAGAGCCACATATAAAGGACTCTTCACCTGGAATCGTTTGCCCCGCCCAACTTGTGCAAGGCGTCCTGCCTTCTGCTACTCTGTGCGACTGCCTCCAAAAAGAGCGCCGTGTTTTTTCCTACATCGCTGCCCTCCACTTTCCCATTCTGGAGCGCTAGCTTTCGCCCCCCCCCTTGGCCTCAAGTTTACACATCTCCTTCAACGCTACTAGCAACACTGGCTCGACTGGCGCTACTAGCAAGAGCGGCTTCAAGAAAGCTGCTCCTGCCTGAGGGCGGGAGAAGCTTCCGTGAAAAACCCTGGCTGTGACAGGCAGCTTTCAAACCTTCGCAGGTCCCTTAGGTCATCTTAGGTCCCTTATCACTCACAACTTGGTTCTTCAGATATCTCTTTAAGTCTTCCGCTTCTCTGCGTGGTTCCTCTCATGGAGTAACCCGTTACACATGCTAGCGCCTGCTGCGCATACTCCAAGCAGGTCCCAGACAGGTGCAAGTCACCCAGACTTTGCCTGACATTGGAATGGGAATGGCATCCTTCTCCTTTCTCTTATTTTTCCTTCTAATAGCAATGGCCTCCAACCTGATAGCGATGGCCTCCTGATCGAGCAAAAACTCGTTCTTCACAAGTCGACAACTGGCGATGTACAACTCCGCAGAAGTGAAGAGACCTGAGAATTCAACAAGAAGCTACTAGTAACAGGTGCATCGCTAGTAGTAACAAGTGCATCGCTACTAGTAACAAGTGCCTTACTAGTAGTAACAAGAAGCTTCTAGTAACAAGAATCAAGCTTGCAAGTGAGCACATGCGGAGCAAACATGGAACAGAAGCGTAGAGCCGGCACTGCCAGCTCCCCTAGCTCCCTTTTAAAACAAATAAGAACTTATCTCTTTGCATTCTCTATTAGGTTGAGGGCCATCGCTATCAGGTTGGAGGCCATCGAGGCCATCGCTACTAGGTTGGAGGCCATTGCTATTAGGTTGGAGGCCATCGCTGGTGGGTTGGAGGCCATCGCAATTAGGTTGGGGGCTTCTTTCACAATGAAGGGTGAGCTATCCTGCGTACAGTTGCTCGAAGCTTAAGTAGCTAGGAGCTTACTCCCTTACTTAACTAATTAAGTACGCTGGGGGAGCGGGCGTTTAAAAAGTGAAGAACGAGTTTTTGCATCAGGCTGCTAGCACCCTGCGGCTGGATGTGACTCACTCCAACCTCATTCAGCGATGGCATGACCTCGTGTTCGACAGCAGCATGACCGTTCGGTTCTGAGAGAATCAAAAAGACACTCTCGGGCTTGCGGCCCTACATAATATAGCTTCTTGTTACTAGTAAGGCACTTGTTACTAGCAGCGATGCACTTGTTCCTGTCGGGCTTGCGGCCCACATGCACATTGGTTCGGTAGTTTGCTCCAGCTTGACATTGGGTTGGTTCGGTGCTTCCAGATTCGCTGTCCCTCGAATGCCATGCAAAGGTTGGCCGAGTCAAAGAGAAGTCCACACCCCAGCTGAACTTCATTGCAGCTTGAGCAGGTTTTTTGACACACTCTTCTTGTCGTTTAAATGTTGCCAGATGACTCTTTGCTTGCGAACAAAACATTCAGCTTGCTTCTTGACTCACCTTAACCGACTGACTTCCTGGCTTGAGCCATCTAGGTTGTATTTTCACGGTGGCACACCAGCGGCAGATCAGGTTCCTGCTATGACTGTCGACCTTCGTGTGCTTTTCGCTTTTGGAAATCATTCTGTCACTCCAAGTGGTCCAAGTGCATGGCAGATTTCGCCACAGGAGTTGTATTTGAGACGTGGTGGTGGTGATACCCTTTTTCTTTGGGATGATGCTTGGCAGCTTCAAGTTCGGACGATCTCAAGCATGCAGCTTGGAGCCAAAAAGTGCTTGAACTCTGAGGAGAAAAAGACACTTGGAGACTATGGTGTCAAGCTCGAGTCTCAACTTGGACCAACAGCGTCAGCTTGGAGCTCCTAGTAGCTTCTTTGCTCCTAGTAGTACGGCCAGGAGCCCCTAGTAGCGTCCTTGCTCCTACAGTATTTGTTCAAATGTGCAAAACCTTTGTTCTACATGCAAAGGAACGGTATGGAGATTCACATCAAGGCTGTGCTCAAAGTCGGTGTTCATGGGATCGACGGGTTTGCGGACCAAATCATCATGTTGGGTGGTGCAGAGTGCGGTGAGATAGGGCGGTCTTCTCTTTTTCTGGTTTTCTTTGGACATTAGCTGTTTTCCTGTGAACCGTTCTTTCTTTGTTTGATTTGATCTTTCCAATTTTTCCCATTACCAGCCAAGAGTCATGCTATGAGCACTACACAAAACGCAGGCTGATGGCAATTCATCCAAAGGGTATTGTTGCAGATCGTCTGATTGCCCTAGCACTCGCTAGCATGGCGACCAGTTCTCAACCGCACATGGACATAGACCATCCTTGTCCACCTTGATCGATATTATACACAGAAGTGACCGGACCAGTTCGCCGGTGAATCCCCGCCTCACCTGCATACAACACTTGTACTGGATCATGAAACAGCTGCAGCTGCCACTTCTCGGCCAACCATATGCTGCCAAATCGCTGAAATGAGTATATATATAGACATATTTATATAGTAGACGCTACTAGGAGCAAGGACGCTACTAGGGGCTCCATTAGTAGACACAAATGTACGAAACTGCAACAATTCGATCTCTAGCTCCGCAATCTTCCCTCGTTGCTATTCTGTGGCTGCCAGGATACAAATCCGTATTCGCTCTCTGCCAACGGAGGCTTGGAGGATGTGAGTCAGGCCGGGCTCAAGACAGCTGAAGAGATTCCTCGCGTGCGATTCGGGTATTCCTTTTTGAGGTGCAAAAGTATGTCATGGCCGACGAGGAGTTCTGAAGTCGCTAATATCACCAACACAGAAAGCCTTGACATGCAAGAAGCTTTGGCTCTTCGTCGTTTCAGGGGCTTTCGCCTTTCGGAATAACGATGCCACTCGCAGGAGTATGAGAAACTTGAAAACAGTGTTCGAGCCATCAAAAGGCGAGAGAAGGAGAAGGCCGATCTCTTGCAGAAGCCCTCCTTTTCTTTCTTGTAAGCCCCGGGGTTAGGCCGAGAAGAGGTAGTGGCTAGGTAGCTAGTAGAAGCTAGGTAGCTAGTAGCTTGAGTAGCGGCTACTACCTAGGACGCAGGATAGCTCACGCTATTCATTTGGTTCCTAGAATTTTAGAGAAAATTAACTATAGCGATGGCCTCCAACCTAGTAGCTATGGCCTCCAACCCAAGACAAGACTTTTGAATGACTGAGAATTCACAAACTTCCACATTCACCGTTCACAGAATTGAAACAAGAAGCTATTAGAAACAAGTGCATCGCTACTAGTAACAAGTGCCTTACTAGTAGTAACAATGTTTGCTATTAGAAACAATATAAATTAAAATTAAAGCAATAGCTTTTGTTACTACTAGTAAGGCACTTGTTACTAGTAGCGTGGCACTTGTTACTACTAGCTTCTTGTTACTACTAGTAAGGCACTTGTTACTACTAGCGTGGCACTTGTTACTAGTGAAAGGTTGACGTCCAGACGTATCAGACGTTTCAGGCAGAGGCTGAACGTGCGGCTCGAATAGCTGCTGGGGAGGTTAGAGACCAAGCGAAGAGGCCAACACGGAAAGCTTGACCGGACCGTCTTCCTGCATGATTTTGAGTGTTTCTAGTTTAATTGAGCGAATGGTTGATGAGAAAATCTGATTTTGGCGCATTGTAAGCGGAGTGTACCAGAACCGAGCACTCAGGTCATTGAGGAGGAGCCCAGCGAGAGCTTGGAGGAGGTGAAGCGGAGACCTGCAATTTACCATATTATACCGTTCTTCCTTTTCTTGTTTCTTTGTTTCCACTAGCGATGGCCTCCAACCTAATCAGTGTTTTGTTCTTTTTCTAACTTGTTTTCCTCATTATCTCTTTCTTTCTAGTGAGCAATGCCTTCCTACCTTTGAGACTTGAGTCAAGATCCATACGGTAAAGGTGGCCGGGGCTCTCGGCCTCCATCTCTACGCCAGGTTTCTGTCCGAATACCACTTGGGAGCCGCTGCCAAGTGTTGGACTCAAGCAACAGCTGCGATGCGATCAACACACTAGTAGCGTCCTTGCCCCTAGTAGTAAGGCCAGGAGCCCCTAGTAGCGTCCTTGCTCCTAGTAGCGATGCCAGGAGCCCCTAGTAGCGAACACTGTTCCTAGTAGCGATGCCAGGACGTTGTTACTGCATGTTTCTAATTCGCATGGGAGGTGCACCCCGGTGGCCGGCGAGGAGAGATTGCTTATGTTGGTTCCGTCAGAGGCGCCAAGGCGCACATTTTTACTCTTCCAAAACGCACCATGCAGCATTTGACGAAGAAATTCAATTCTGTTTGATTTCTTTTTTCTTCTTTTTAGGCCGCTCAGCCTCCCCTCAGTAGGCGCTAAGTAAGGGAGAGGTAGCTCCTAGCTACTTAAGCTACTTAGGACGCAGGAGATCGGAGAGCTCACGCTTCAAGGAATCTCCCGCGGCTGCCCTAAAGGCGGCTGGGGGGAGCTTCCTTGAAGAAGCGCTCGCACCAATGATTTGGTGTCTAGATTTTCAGGTAAATGTTCCATAAAATCAGGCCGGAGTTAGAAATTAATAGCAAAAGGCCTTACTACTAGGAACAAGAAGCTACTAGGGGCTCCTGGCATCGCTACTAGGAGCAAGGACGCTATCAGGATATTAATAAGCTTTTGTAGTCACGACGCATGCGACTCGAGTGAGACTAGTGAGACTCCCTGAGTTACAGTGAGAGACGGTGGGGTGTGAGAAATTGCTGCTTTCCGGAGGGCATTTGGATTGGAGTTGGCTTGGACGAACCTCAAGGCATGTTGACGAAAACCATATATAATCAGTGTGTGAAACGAATTGCGTGATCAATGGAAGTTGGTTCAAGCCAGACTTGGGGACCCCTGGGTCGAGGCAACAATGATGGATCAAAAGCTGGAGAGCATTACTTTGACTGCAAGGGAGACAAGTATGGTTGCTTCGTGCGGCCAGACAATGAACCTTGGAGGAAAGTTGTTTGTGTTTTTAGAAGCATTTTTTCCTAGTAGCGTCCTTTCTCCGTTCGTAGCGATGCCCTTTGCTCCTAGTAGCAAGAATGCTCCTAGTGGTATGGCCAGGAGCCCCGTTCGTAGCGTTCTTGTTACTACTAGTAAGGCACTTGTTACTAGAAGCGATGCACTTGTTACTACTAGCGATGCACCTGTTACTAGTAGCTTTTAGGTCAAAACGTTTTTCAAAAAACAATCAAGAACAATCATTGTCAGCAGCCACTGCACAGCACTGGGCACCGCGGACCGTCATCTTCGAGCAAGGTAGAGGTGGGCGACTTCCCCGAATTGGATCCCTTCGCCTCTGAGGAGGAGTTTTGACTTCTCACCGTTGAGAGATTAGAACATGCTACTAGTAACAAGTGCATCGCTACTAGTAACAAGTGCCTTACTAGTAGTAACAAGAAGCTAGTAGTAACAAGTGCCTTACTACTAGTAACAATGAAAAAAGGATTATTCATTGCAATGACGAACACCTGTAAAGACTGAATCCAAGCAAAGCGGGCGAGACTCAAGAGTATTGCTTCGAATTCGCAAGAAAAAGATGCATGAGGAGTATAAATCTCTAATGCATCCTCGTGACGTGGCCAAATTGCCTGTCACAGATAACGAAATGCCTGAGAGACGGCAAAGGGACAGACTGACTCAGCTTGAAAATGCTGCCGTGGAAGGTTATCATTCAGATGTGTTTCTGAAAAACCTGCCAAAAACCATTCTATGCGCGCTATGCGCAAGAGTTGTGCTTTCGTTTCGATGTGTTTAGCTTGCAGCTGGGGCATGGAGTCACTGTATGCTGCTTAGCCATCCCTGGCAGCTTGGCCCACTGCATCCCACCTTCAAATCTGCAAAAAGAGTCTGTTCCATTCTTTGTTTATTTTCTTCGGAGGGCCATTTAATTTTGAAAAATTGTTGTTTTTTTTTGTGTTTTTCGTGGCTTCTGGCTTCTGTGGCTTCTGTGGCTTTTGGCTTTCGTGGCTTTCGTGGCTTCTGTAGCTTTTGGCTTTTTGGCCTATCCATCTATTTGTCTATATCTATCTGTCTATATCTTTCTTTCTTTCTTTCTTTTGGGCAGCTGTTCTCCTTTCTCTTTTTGCATTTGCTTTTCCTGTTGTTTACGTTGCAGAGACGAAACCAAACAAGGAAGCAAGCAAGCAAGCAAGCACGAGCTGCTCACCTTTGGATCTGGTGTGCTGCTGGGGGGGGGCGCTGCGCCACGAAATCTGCACTTCATCCCCAACACCCGCGCCTGCCACGAAATCAATATTTTAAGGTGAACTCCCCGGCGCAAAACTTTCTAACCAAGCAAAATTGCTTCCTCCATCTGTCTGTCTGTCTATCTATCTATCTATCTATCTTTCTATCTATCTATCTATCGATCCATTTATCTTTCTATCTGTCTATCTGCAGTTCAACATCCACAAAGTACTACACCTGCCACGAAATCTGCACTTCAAGGTCCACAAAGTCTCGCGCCTGCCACGAAATCTGCACTCCAAGGCCCACAAAGTCCTGCACGTGCCACCAACTCTACACTTCCACATTAAGGTCCACAAAGTCCTGCGCCTGCCACGAAATCTGCACTCCAAGGCCCACAAAGCACTGCACCTGCCACGAAACACGAAAAAAAATCCAAGAAAAGAAACTAAAAAAAAACAAAATTAAGTCGCGGCCCTTTTTCTTCCCGCTCTTGTTCTGTAGACCTTACTTGGCTCGTCTAAGACCGCTTGGTGTCAGGCCACTTGGCTCAAAGCTCATGCGTCTTGCTCGAGTAATACGAGGAATGGCGAAGAAGGACCTGTTTCATGCTTGCAAATTAGCTACTAGTAGCGATCCACCTTGCTACTAGTAGCTTCCTGTTCCTATGACAAGGAGACTGCGAAGGATTTGTTTCGTGTTGCCGGGAGATCTTTTCAGAGATGAGCAGACTCAGGTTTTTTTTGTGCCGCAAGGGAGCACGGACAAGAGCGCCCAGACTTGCCTCTGTGGGGTTTACGACCCGAGGCTCAATGCTTCCAGAGTTAAGCTTTACCGGATAAACTTAGGAAGAAGCAAAGAAAGAAAGGAAGGAAAGGTCTGAAGGTGTAAAGAATAAAGAAGCAAAGGAAAGAAAGCCTTTTTTGCATGTACTTCAAGTGCTTCAAGTAAGTTGAGTAGTGAAGGTCAGAACTGAAAACATCTCAGAACGCTGTTTTGTAAGGTTATGTTAGGTCTGGAACTTGTTCCTAATAGCTTCTTGTTACTAATAGCGTGGCACTTGTTCTTAATAGCTTTTTGTTACTAGTAAGGCACTTGTTACTACTAGCGTGGCACTTGTTCCTAGTAGCTTCTTGTTACTACTAGTAAGGCACTTGTTACTACTAGTAAGGCACTTGTTACTGAAAAAGACGATGTTTCTTTTTCAGATGCGTTTTGTTTGTCGATTTCGAGAAAGGTTTCACCAGAGACGGCCTTCCCCCCTGCACTCATCGATGCCTAGCGTTTGCTGCTCAGAGCGAAGAATGATGCATATGCATCGCTACTAGTGGCTTCTTGTTAATAGTAAGGCGCCTTGCTGAATAGACACATGAAATCACATGAATACGTTTTTTTCTTTTTCTGTTTCCTTTTGTTTAGGCCGCGCTGCCCCCCAACTCCTTAAACTTGGTGGTGCTGCTGGTGCTGCTTGTTGGTTTGCAGCTGCTGCTGTTGCTGCTGTTGTTGCCGCTGTTTTGTGGTCTGCTGCTGCTGCTGAGTGGTGCCTCGCTGCTGCTGAGTGGTGCCTCGCTGCTGCTTATGCTGCTGGTTTGTGGTCTGCTGCTGCTGCTTGGGGGGTTGCTGCTGCAGCCGACCAACCTTTCGTCCACCCCCCTTTTCTCAAGTTTCTTTTTCTGTTTCCTTTTGTGTTTAGGCCGCGCTGCCCCCCAACTCCTTAAATAAGGAAGGGCTTAGCGGCTGAGTTAGCTCCTAGGTAGGGCGCAGGGTAGCTCAGGCACTATTCGTTCGGTTCCTAGATTGTTAGGGCAAATGCATTCATATGTATTATCAAACAATATTCTTCGCTCACTATTAAACATGACGCAAAATATGCATGCAAAGGTCTGTGTTACTTCGGCTTGACCTTTCGCGAGGTGAGACTACAAGAAGTGAAAGGGCTGAAAGGCGGCTTTCAAATATTGGACTTGATGAACGCAGATGAGTGCGAGGTGCGCTTTCAACGCATGCTCACAGAGCTCTCACAGAACTTTTTCCGTGGATGGCGAGAGCTATTGAATTATTGGGGTTCTTGCTTCAATAGGAAGAGGTGCCTGTGTGCGCGTGCTGCAGGGTGCCCGAGGGTACCGCTGGGGGGGTGCTGCTGCGACGTGTCAAAAACACGTAGGCCCGCTGCCAGCGGCCGCTGCAGCGTGCTGAGTCCTGACCGCTGCTCACAAAAGTCGTTTTGCTGACTGGGGTCTATGCTGGCATGTAATTTGTGTACAAGAACAATATTCCTGCTCGAACTGCTTTCCCTTGTTGTTTCCCAAGGAGCTCTCTTTTCCTTTTTGTGTTCCAAAGAGTGGACGGACTCCAGGCCTTCGTGGATGTCTTGGAGACCTTGGGCTTCCACACAGATGCTGCAACTTGGCCCAGGAGGTGCACGAGCAGACAATTGCTCAGCGATGATCAGCTATAACAGAAAAAATAAGGAAACTAAACAATAAAAGAAAACATGTCTAAACTCTAAACAAGATTTTAAAAACACATGAAAAAGCTAGTGAAGTGAATTGAACATGTATCTATCAATGCATTATCACTTTCCATTAAGGCCGTCTCATTACCATATTCTTTCCGCCACATGACAAACTGCAACCTTTGCGTACCAGAATTTGTGGATGAGACGCTCTTCAGACGAACCTCAGCCTGCAGAGAGAAAGCTGTGCTGCAGGTGGAAGCTTCTTGTTACTACTAGCGTGGCACTTGTTCCTAATAGCTTCTTTGTTACTACTAGTAAGGCACTTGTTACTGCTAGCGTGGCACTTTATGGGGTGGTTTACAAAGCAATCACATTCTGGGGGATTGTTCTGTCCCTCGCTCACAGGCACTGGCGAAGTGGCTGTTCATTTGCATTCGACAATTTCAAAATGCTGTTGGTAAGCGAGACATGTTTAGGGCCCTGCTTAGCTTCTTAGCGTTTGAGGAGCGCAAACCTTCCCACACATGGCTCAGGTTGCGAGCATCTTTTGCCCTCCATTGCTGGCTGCAGACCTTTGGGATTGAATGCAAAGTTCCGGTGCTATAGACTTTCGGCAAAAATTGTCAAACCGTTTCCTTCAAATAAGCATCTTATTTTAGATAGGATCATTTCACATTACTTTCTTTTTGCACTGGCGTGTGGGAGCTTCCCAGGATACCAGAAAGGTGATTACTTCAAGCCACACACTGATGGCTCATGGGATGGTTCCAGAATTACCTCCAAAGGCTTCCAAAGTGATGCTTACGGTGACCGGCACAGCCAGCTGACTTTCCTCATTTTGTTGACTGCTGCTCAACTGCAACTTGCATATGTCATTCTGGACTCGTGTTTTGTTGGGCTTAGTCGCTATTAGGTTGGAGGCCATCGCTCTTAGGTCGGAGGCAATCAATCTATTCATTGGCAGGTTGTTAATAAAAGAAATAGAATGAATAGAAAATCTGCCATCATATAAAAAAGAGGCCAACGAAGGCACAAATAATGAAAAATATGGCCAATGAATTATTGGCATTAAACACAAATAACTATCGCCCACTTTTAATGAAATAGCATTATAATATCTGGGCGATGGCAAGATACAAATAAGAATCGTGACGTTGTGTTCGTCGACCATTTCACTGTCTTCTCAGGAGGACTATGAAGGTGGTTGCACCCGATTCTTGGTGGATCCTCGGGTGCATACATTTCAGCAATATGCATGAAACTACTGCAAACTGCTAACGAGGCAGCTACGGTTTCCTTTCTACACTAGTCACTAGTATATACCGATGCATACATGTCTTTCAAGAGGAATGGATGAGAGGAAGTCAAGAAGAAAGGAAAGAAAGATCAAAAGACAATAAAGGACGCGCAAATAGTTTAATTGTTGAAACAAAGAGACAGAGAAACATGAAATAATTGAGATGTTGATATAGGTTCTTTTTTTTTCAGTCTCAGGGTGAGGACGACAAAGACCACGTCGCAGTGCGGACGCCGAAAGGTGGAGTTTTGTGCCAAGACTGCATCGAAAGAAAGAGACTAGTCGCTATGTCTTCCTGTTTTGTGTTTCTTCTTTTGCTTAGACTATCAGAAACAAGAAGCTACTAGGAACAAGTGCATCGCTTCTAGTAACAAGTGCCTTACTAGTAGTAACAAGAAGCTTAGACTATGTTTGCTACCTGATGGCCCGATACCTTTTTTCCCCTTTGGGTCATCGCCCTTTGGTCGGGTCGAGACGAGGGCTCTCGCCTTTGTGCATCCCGACTCTTCTTGACCGATTTGCTCAACAGATCACCTGGCCCACACCACGACTTCTTGTTACTACTAGCGATGCACTTGTTCCTAATAGCGTGGCACTTGTTTCTAATAGCTTCTTGTTACTACGAGTA